CCATACTCTGCCGACCTTGGAACTTACAATGGACTTAAGTTAATGGCCTGCCGTGTGGTTTGGTAACATTGGGACTGTGCCTTTTTACTTGTCAGCCTTGGGGCTTCTCAGCCTTAGCAGCTAGCAGCTGTCTGAGTGAAGAAATGCCTCTAGCTCCATGGGGCTGGGAGCAGGAGGCAGAGCTGGACCCCGAGGTTGAGGGGCTTTCACCCAGCCCCTAGAGCCTGGCACTTTGGACTTGGATTTAAAGCCTCCAAATTGTAAGAATAAACTATTTGTTAAGGCCGTCCCATTTGTGGTATATTCCTGTTAGAGCAGCACTAGGGAACCAGAACACCAGGTAAGATGAAATCCTTGACAACTTCAATCTTTTCTCCATTTATCATGATGCTACTTATTGGTCCAGTTGTGAAGATTTTTGTTTTCTTTATATTGAGCTGTAATCCATACTACAGACTGTAGTCTTCAATCTTCATCAGTAAGTGCTTCAAGTCATTTTCACTTTCAGCAAGCAATGTTGTGTTGTCTGCATATTGCAGGTTGTTAACGAGTCTTCCTCCAATCCTGACATGCATTCTTCTTCATATAGTCCAGCTTCTCAGATTATTTGCTCAGCATATAGATTGAATAAGTGTGGGGGAAAGGATACAACCTGATGTACACCCTTCCTGATTTTAAACCATGCACTATATCCCCTTGTTCTGTTCAAACAGCCTCTGGTCTATGTACAGGTTCCTCATGAGAACAATTAAGTGTTCTTGAATTCCAATTCTTCACAAGGTTAGCCATAATTCATTATAATCCACATGGTTAAATGCCCTTGCACATTCAATAAAACACAGGAAAACATCTTTCTGGCATTCTTTGCTTTCAGCCAGGATCCAGCTGACACCAGCAATGATATCCCTCATTCCACATTCTCTTCCAGCTTGAATCCAGCTTAAACAGATCATTCCAAAGAAAGATAATCCAACAGAATGTGGAAATTATTGAACAATATCATTAATATCACATGCAAGTAAAACAGTGCTGAAGATAATTCAAAAATGGTTGCAACCGTACATCAGCAGGGAATGGACAAAAATTCAAGGAGAGCTTAGAGGAAAATTTATAGCTTTAAGTGATTATAATAAAAGTAATAAAGGTTTGTGGCCATCTAGATGCAATAATGGGTCTCTCTTTGTCTGGAGCCAAGAAGAAAGAAGAAAACCAAAGGCACACGGAAATAATTAATTCAAGGGACTAGTGGACCATGCAAACCTCAGCCTGCACGATCCTAAGACTGGAAGAGCCAGACGGCTGGTCCTTAGCTACCACCGTCCACCACTCAGGGAGGGGTCAGTGCAGGACATTTGAGAGAGAGTAGGAAAAAAATGTGGAACAAAATTCAAAATCATAAAGAAAAGACCAGCTTACTGGTCTGAAAGATACTGGTGAGACCCCTGGAACTATGGCCCCTAGTCAACTATGACCCCTAGTCACCCTCTGGGGCCGTGTGTTAGGCTGGATTCTCTAGAGAAGCAAAACCAGTAAAGCTTAGAGAGAGAGAGAGAGAGAGAGAGAGAGAGAGAGAGAGAGAGAAAGAGAGAGAGAATTATCTTAGGAAAATGGCTCACACACTCATATAGAAGTTTGCAAGTCCAAAGTTCTTGGATCAAATGTCAAGCTGGAGGCTTTCCCGACTCACGCAGCTGCAGGGGCTGAGGAGCTCAAGGTTGGCAGGCAGTACACTGGCTGTTGACTCCGATGAGTGACGAATCCAAGATCTCCAGGCCAAATGGTGGATTGTTTGCTCAATGGACAGTTGTAGGCAACACAACAGAATCCCGATCCACAGAAGAGTGTCTCTTTTCCCAGGATGTCCATAAATACACTGGAAGCAGGCCATACCCCTAGGGAAACTCCCTTTCAATGGATTGGCTGCTCAAAACATATATATCCGATCCCATCGTGGGAATTACCCACATCACAATTGCTTAAACCACACAGAATTGTGGTCCAGCCAAGTTGACACACAGCTCCAACTATCACAGCCTGGAACTGAACTCATTCCTGTGGCTCCCAGAAAAACAACAGACAGACATATGGGGTGAACATTTACATCAGATAGATTCACTCCTTAGAGTGATCAATTGTGGGAGAACAGAAGGGCGGTGTTTGGACAGGGAGACAGATTGGGGGCAGAAATGCATAGGAAAGAAGGACACAAGGAAGAGGTAACTAGAGAGGAAGTGGGAAGAGAGCTGTTACATG